CAGATTCAGGCTCATCCAAGGCCACTCAAAAATGCACCTTTGCTTTTAGCTCTGCTCTGCCGTCCAGACATCTTATCAGCAATTTTCCTTGGACACATCCGTTCAGTTTCCTTTATTTTCTCTGCTGCTGATTCAGAGGTTTCACTGAAACATGGCTTTTTACAACAATAACATGATGCTCTTCCCATAAATCAAACTACTACAAGGCACATGTCGACAATTAAAGTGTTCAGTAAGGATTCCAGAACAGACAACCCATGTCACACAGACGAGGCCAATGCAAAGCCATTTTAGAATCTTGCAAATCTGGATGAATTTCTTTATAAACTGATCACACTCACCACCATTTACAACAGACAAAGTGATTTAGTTATGAGAGGAACAGTCCTTGTAATCTGGCTGTAATCTGGAATCAGCTGTGATGTCCAACCACAGCTGATTCAAAGTCCGGAAAAGGGAAGAAAATACCCCTTCCTTTAGATATCCAATCAAATCGCCCTTGGTCAAAGTCCTCAAATATACAAAATAAAAATACATATATATAGATAGATATACAGGGGATGAAAAGACAACACAATACCTCAAATGTAGAAGAAGAAAGAAAAAACAAATGTCATTTAAATCCATGTACAGATAACAAAAATAACCACCATAAAACCACTTTAAATCAATTTAAAAGATAAACCAAAATAACTCCAATCAGTTTTGTTTACCTTCGAGGTAGTGTTAGAAATTAAAATCAATGTTTTAATGGGGAAAGGTAGTTTAAACATGCCGTCAGTTTAAATGCTGTTTTATACTGAAAAACCAGAAATTATTGTGCACAACCAGCTGTTAAGCTTTATTCTGAAACTCTTTCATCTCCGGTTAGCATTTAGCATGTGGCTAATATACGATTTCCTAAAGAGGTGAATTTAGTAGCGAAATGACATGGAGTGGTGCAAACCGAAACCTACTGATTTAACACTACAACTATAGATGTCGAGATACTACCATGCTGAATATTAAATGAAGGTACAGTTTATTTGAATACATTATTGTTTACAGACGAGAGTAGCATGTGACAACATCCGGAATGACCGGAAACCAAACCAGCCGTGAAGTATTTTTTAGAGTAGTGATTACAGCGTTTAGAATGTGTTACATGAAAAGTGATGAAAGAGAATATGAGGAGAAAAGGCGTGTTAAGCATATATTGAATGTGAAAAGTACCAATACTCTGTTTAAATGCAACAACGGACATTGGAGACGAGGCGAGCCGGCTGGCGGGGAGGAGCCAGCAGAGGATATATAACCGGAGGAGGGATCCTCCTCTTCTCTTTCCTAACGAGGAGCGG